GCGGGGCCTCCGCTGTCGGCGGCCTAGGCGGGGGGGGGGGCGTCAGACCCGCGCTTTGGGCCAGCTCCGCGTTTTCTCTCGCGAGCCTGAGGGAATTTGCTGCTGCGTTTCGCTGGGGCCCCGAGGAGGCCGTGTGACCCGCGCGGGCTCGCTTGAAAGCGTCCGCCAGGCCTCATTTTTTCGGTCTTCTAATTTCATCCGAACATCGAAAATCTCTTTTCGTAGAGGTGCCCTAAGGTGGTGACGTGGGGAGGAGGAGGAGCAGCAGCAGCAGTGTTCTCCCTTTCTGCAAACATTTTTCCTGTAGTATCTCCGCAGCTTTTCCTTCCCCTGGGGGCTGTTTTCCAGTGTTGCCCTAACTGAGGTGTGTCGCATCGTGAGCTCCCGTCTGAAATGGGAGTTTGAAGTTGCCTCCGAGCAGCTTTGCATTTCCAAATGGTTGCCCTGCCCAGGAGGTGTTTTGTACAGAAAGTGTCTGAGTTACAGCGTGAAGCTGGTTGTGCCCAGCTGCTGACTTTATCTTGGAGATGCCTTTGCATACAGGCTGCCTGCATTAATGGGCTGGGCGTGTGGTACACAGCACAGAGCTCTGCTTAAAACGGGAAGCGCCTTGGTGTGGCCGTGGACCGCTCCTTGTCTGAGGGATGCGTAGGAGAGAGATGATAAAAGACATTCTCTCCACGCTGATAACACTGGCAAACCTTAGACTCCAAGGGATGGTTAACACCAGACTTGGGGAGCATACAGCTCTGCAGTTTTGTGCAAAGATCTATAACCTTCGAGCATTTTAAGAATGAAAGATTGCATGGAATTACTTCCTTTGGCAAACGCACATTGCCTGATTTTCTGCGGTGTTGTTGATGGAGAATTTAAGTCAGAGGCACAAAATTATTTTACAGTACCTGGGACTTCAGGTAATCTGTGCATATGACTGAGGTATAAGTGACTTAAAGCCCATGTGGTTTGAAGTCACCTGACTGAGAATGCCGTGTGGTCAGAGAAGGATGTACAAGGTTTGTTTCCCTCATGAGACTCAGCCGTGAGACCCAAGTCATGGCTCAGGTGGCATGACTGAAAGAAACAGGGATTTGTTTGCTTGAGTGGTGTATTTCTCTGATTGAGAAAGCAGAAGAAGGGGAAAAAACCCCACATAAATACGTGGAGACTGCTTGTCTGAGAGACAGGTAAAAATTTTTAGCTTAATGCTGGAAAGAAGCTGAGAGAGAAGGACAGCTGGGCAGCTTCTTGTCTAAGAGGCAGCCTGGCACTGGAGTTTCATTCCTGGAGAGAAGAGGCTCTGTAAATTACTGATGAGCAAATAGGTCTGTGCTCATGGCACAACCTGCACCACCCTGAATGCTTGCTAGATCAAGAGGAGAGATTCCAGTGCCCTCGAGGCGAATCTTGTTTGATTAAAAACAGTTTGTAAACTTGGAGGGATAGTAGTGACTTGTTTTACGTTCAGTCATCTTTGGCTTCCCATATCACTGTCTTTACTTGTCAGTGCCCTTTCGTAAAGAGGGGCATCTTGAGTGCTGTGTTATAGGGCTTCTCTTATTTTTAGGCCTATCTCCAATTCTGCCTGTGTTTTTATCAGGCAGGTTTACTCCTTCCTTCCTGGAAGCAAGTTTTCAAGATCTGCCCTTCTTCATGCCTCTGCATGAATGTAGGACAAGCAGATGGGTAAGATCCAGATGTGTCAGGCTTCCTCAGTATGTGAAGTGAAATAATCTGAAGTAATGTTTTCAGAGATTCATTGCATTAGGCATTAATATTAGGTTATGTGTGAAGGTACTCTGAGGTGCCTGACGCCCAAGTTAGGCAGAATGCAGCCAACAAAGCTGGTGTGCTGAGAGACATCATGATGAAGAGATCAGCAGTAGGAGACTAAAGGAGAAATGTGAATTTCATGAACTCATATACAAGAGTTTGGCACATGCAAAAAGAGATCATAGGACATAGCCTCACCCTTTAGAGTGTTTTCTGCTATTCTTTTCTTTCACAAGTACAATAAAAGTATAAAAGTATTGGCTTACAGGTGTACTTTTTCACAGAAGTCTTATACAAGAAGCCAGGGAAGGGTTGTTTTGTTTTCTCCCACATACTTCCTTTTAACTCATTTATTTTCTTCAATCTCACCAGCAGGTGAAAAAATCCCACAACTCTGGCACTTCCTGTTTGACATCCTCCTTTGCCCCATACCCTGGTTCTGCCAGCCCAGCTTGGGAAGATGCAGAGGGCTTGGGCCTGGCTGCATCTTTGTAGGTAAACTGGTGATAAAGGGGGCTGATCTGGGGCCCAGAGGGTTGGAATGAGTACGGGAGGGACAGGCTTAGGGCTGGGTGGACACACGGCTTTGTGTATTCGCCCCGTGCTGCAGTTGCCAGCAAAGCATATCTGTTGTAGCAGGGGAGTGAAGCAGTTTTTAGTGTTGATCAATAGGGTTGCTCTCACGGCACAAGGGTAGACACACAAGGATCTCTGTAGAACTAGGCTCCGAGACAGTTATTTCCTATTTTGCCAACTTGAGGGGGAAATGAAATAATTACTGTGTGATGTAGGTTAACAGAAGGCCAATCTATGTAGGCAGAAGCTAATAAACTTCTAAGCAAAATGTGCAAAAGTAGCAAATCCCAAACCTGTAAAAATGTACTGTAAAAATACGCCATATATCTAGTGTAAAGCCCATGCAGCACATTGACATGCTTTCTGATCAAGATTTTATGTGGATTAAAAAATTAGGGAATTTGGAGGGTGGTGATTCCCATGGCAACCATACTTCTAGCACCTTGTGCAAATACATAGTATTTTCTACTAGTGATGACTGTTCTGGAAAAACACGGGGTGAAAATAAAACTGCAGTGGTAAATGTCGCTCCAGATCTCCTGAGCTTGTATGCATAGGTGCTCACTCAGCAAGATCACTGTTCACGAATCTGCATTAATGTAATTTTTTATGTTTATTCTCTTCCCTTAAGAAAAGTAAACAGAAACAGCATGTATTTTGAATAATGGTCCTTCATAAGGGCCTGTTATTTCCTTGGACATGTGTCTGGAGGGGACGCTGCTGGTGAGATCAGTACGGATGTGCTCATCCCAACACGTGCTCGTCCCAGCATGCAGGAAAGTGGACAACTGTCTCTTCTCCGCAACCTTGTGTTCTAGCGAGCGATAACCCCAGCGGGGCTGGAGCAGAGCAGTCCCTCCTGCTCCTGGAGCAGATCTTTGGCTATTAACCCATTTATTCAGCTCAGTGGCTGAGTAGCCTTTGTTACACGAAGGTGGTGAGCAGTGGCTCTCCCCAGTGCTGTAACGGACAGGTTGCCTGGTCTTGTCATCTAGAGCTTCTGTATGGAAAGGTGGAAGCTGCATTTCCAGTGTTTTTGTGACCTTGTGGTGTGGCACGTTAGAGGACTTGCTGCATTTGGGAGTCAGCTAATGGCTGGAGAACACAATACACGTGTTTGTTCAGGCTTGCGCAGTAAGGAGAGCGCTGCACCACATGTGGATTATTATTCTGTGTTACGAATGGTCTGGACGAGGCTTGTGGGTTGATTTGTTTTTTCCCTTTGGGATCCTACAGTCTGGATGCTGGACTCTCCTACTGTCTAATGCTTTGTCACTGGGCTCAGCTGTCTACACTGCAGTGTCTAGCACCATCTGAGATACTCCAGGCTATCTCCTCTGGCCTGTAGCTGCTACAGAAGGGGTCCTGGAGCTGCTGTTGGCTACCTGCCAGCCCCCTGTGCATGCCTGAAGGCACTCTGCCGCATCTCAAAGAGCACTAGGTACCTACGCTGAGGAACCAAGTCGAACCCTGAGCCTTTGTGTTGTCCTCGGTAAGACATCCTGTGTCATTGAAGTCTTTCGATTTGAATACATGTGGGTAATGACACTTCCCTACCTTCAAGGGATGCTGGGAGAGGTAATTAACTGAGTTCATGTTTGTATAGCATTTTGAAGGTGAAATGTACGGTGGAAATTAGTAAGTGTTATTTTAGTAGAAACTTTTGTGACAGTGGCTCCCAAGTGGAAAGCGTGCTGTTCCAATTAAGGGGTAGTGGTGCTGGTAACCAAAGTATTAATGTAGTTAACATGGTGTCAGCTGGAAAGCCTTCACGTGGAATGTGATAGATTAAAAATAACATTCACTTTTTGCAGCTGAACTGAGCTAATCTGTCTGCTGCAAGTCCCGCATCCTCCATTGCTTGACAAGCTGAGTAAACGTGAAACATGAGACTCAAAGGAGAGATTGCGCAAATGTTGGTGAAGACCTTTGTACCCAGCGCGGGGCTTGCAGTTACTACAGCCCCTCCAGGGCACTGGTGCTGTTCAAGGTGTGTTCACTGATTTTTTTTTAATTTTTTTTTGTTTTGTTTTTTGCTTGTTAACATTCACCAAGGGCTAGACTTTAAATATTTCAGGCAGTGCCGGCAGCGGGTGGTCTGTGAAAGCAGTGCAAAACTGATGCTCGATGTCCCCTCTCGCCCATGCACCCTGGTATGGGCACGCTCTGAAGGAACTGGGTGGTAGGTGCCTGCAGGGAGCGGTGGCAGTCGCAGGGGAGGGTGCTGCTGGCAGTGCCCACTGCCAGAGGGATTTCAGGCTGGTTTCCTAGCATCTGCCAGCGCGGTGCTGAAATGCTGACAGATTTTAAAAGATACTAGTAAGGCTGCGACACTGTTTGCCTCCATCTCCCTTAAACAGCAGAAGTAGCTTGTAAGAGAAACCTCAGACCTTTGTTTCTGCTGAGAAGGCTGTCTGACCTTTGGCTAAAAGAAATCCTGGGGAAGTGAGGAGTCCCTGCCAAGCACAGCTGATCCTGCAGCACCTCGCTCAGAGCTCGCAGGCTCCTGCATGCCCAGCAGCCCCGGGGAGAGTTTCCCCATTGAAACCGCCCAACAGGGAGCAGCTGACAGCGACCGGCAGCATTGTCGTATGCAAGATGGGATGGATGTGCACGTGGATCCTGTGGGTTCTCCGGATGTTTGCAGAAAAAATAATTTGCTGAGGTCTTTATGAGAGCTGGTGATAGAGCACAAAGTGATGACTGCAGTCAAACTGTGTTGTGAGGAAATAGCTGAAGTTTAAAATGGCTTACAAAGTATTCACGAGATTTTTTTTCTTTTTTTAGTGGGCTTGAATAATTTATTAAAAAAATAATATTTTGGTTGAAGTAATGAAAATCATAATTTGAGGCCTTATTCTCCTGCACATACCTATTTTCACAGAATCACAGAAAGTTAGGGGTTGGAAGGGACCTCTGTGGGTCATCTAGACCAACCCCCCTGCCAAAGCAGGGTCACTTACAGCAGGCTGCACAGGACCTTGTCCAGGCGGATCTTGAATATCTCCAGAGAAGGAGACTCCACAGCCTCCCTGGGCAGCCTGTTCCAGTGCTCTGTCACCCTCAGAGGGAAGAAGTTCTTCCTCATGTTCGGATGGAACTTCCTGTGCTTCAGTTTGTGCCCATTGCCCCTTGTCCTGTCACTGGGCACCACTGAAAAGAGCTTGGCCCCATCCTCCTGACACCCACCCTTCAGATATTTGTGAGTATATATTAGGTCCCCTCTCAGCCTTCTCTTCTTCAGGCTGAACAAGCCCAGCTCCCTCAGCCTCTCCTCGTAGGAGAGATGTTCCAGTCCCCTCACTATCCTTGTAGCCCTATTTTAAACTAGCTTTGCTCCGTTGACCTCAGTGCGTACACTCACCACCTGAAGTGGTTTATTTGCCCACTTGGATTACAGGCAGAGAAGCACAAACGCAGCCAGCAGGCACGGAAAACGGCTGCACCAACGCACACCCCGACGAGGTGACAGGCACCTCTCCTCCGGCTGCGGCAGCCCCCTGCAGCCCCCACCTCTTGCAGCTTCTGGGGGAGCGGGGCAGAAGGCCGTGGGCAGCCCCAGGGTTGTCTGCTGCAGGCCCAGGGGCTCTGGGTTTCTGCTCTCAGGAGCAAAGGGCTGTTGGTATGGCCAACGTAGGGCAGACCAGAGTCCTGCAAGTCCTTCACCCTCATTTCTGGCAAAGAGGAATCTCTTGAGGCTGTGCCAGCAGAGCTCCCTGGCGTGACGCCAGGCTCTCGGCCGGCCCCACGCCAAGCCCGGGAGCAGCGGAGCGGGAGGTGCTCGAGCTCCGGCATTGCAGCCAGCGCTTATCGGGCATTTGCACTGTCAGGAGGAGAACGGGTACGCGTGCGTTTGAAGGTTCTTGGTGGTGGCTGGCAAGGCTGCTTCTGCAGGGGAGCAGAACCAGGGCTACAGAACAAAGCGTGCTGCAGGTTGCTGGTGATTAAAAGCTTTTTGTCATGAAAAAGTGAAAACGCTGCCTTTGAAACTGGTCAAAGGCAGAACATTGCCCAGAAAGATCATCTGAAAGAAGTTGTTTTAAATTAGAGAGTTTCAAAACGTTTATGTGTTCAGTGATGTTATTTTGTCCACTGAAAGAGTTCAGGCACCTAAATGTATGCAACCAAAACATTTGTGTGTGTATAAGTATATATTAGGAAAATATATTGAAAATATCAACTAGGACAATAATCAATAAAGTCCAATGAAAGCCTGTACCTTTTCATACATTAAGCGCAGAAAAAGAAAAGCTTATTCTTACATTTTTAGCTAGGTTTTTATTTGCAAAAGTCCTTGTTGTTGTAACTGAACCCTTAATGTCACGTGACACATAGGCTGCTTTGTAAATCCCAGCCCACATAAGCATGTGCCAGAGGTAACTTCCCGCGCGGTTTCATATGGATACGCTTTTCAGCACTCCCTGACACAAACTGTTCTGCACTCTCTCTTCAATATTTACCACATTTACATCTTAGTAGTGCAGCAGGTGGCAGTATACCAAAGGATGAGGGTGTGTGGGGTTTTTTTTTCCCTTAACTCAGATGTGTTGGTAATCCTGGAGATGCAATGGTTTGATTCAGTACAAAACCACAGTGAAAATGCTAATTAATATGCAGTTAGAAAATAGCTAAAGGATACAACAGGGTAAACTATCCCATTTCTGCACTGGGAAATCAAGACTGCCAAACAGAATACATCTAGGCAGGTCTCCAGAATAACACAGACGTGTTTTTATTTGGATTTTTAAACACGTGATTTCTTCTCTGTGGACACTGGGTGACTGGGGAGCGGCCGAGTTCTTTCATGAGCAAGAAGCAGAACTCAGCTTGGGTTTGTACAGCTGTCAGTGAAACGAGGCTTCTGGGTGCTGTTTTAATGTAAGCAGTTAAGAAGTGGGAATGCAGCTGTGAAATGCGTTAGCCAGGTATTGTAATACAATTTCCACAGTACTGCATAATTAATATTTATGTGACCACTTGGCATCTGTTAGGAGATTTTTTCTGTAGGTCAGCAGACATCTCTGGCCTTGCCAAAAGGATGAAGAGCAGCGCACAGGAGAAAGCCGGCAGACTTTGCACCCAGCGTGCATGCCGGGAACCATCGTCCCTCTGGGTCTGTGTGATCTGGAACGCCTTCATACAATGTGGCCAGAGCAGATACAGGAGTTCCCAGTCAGGACTCGGGCGCTGTGACTGTTGGTTTTGGTGGACAGAAGAAAAAGTCCCCTTCCACATTCACTTGTAAGCATCGAGAGACTTTTAAAAGCCTGCCTGTAGGCCTGTGCCAGGACCAGGCTTTGTGGCTGTTCTGGAACAGGCTGCA